AAACCAGACCTGCTCCCCGCCCTGACAAGGCCCCAAGTTGCCGCCCACAGATGCCTCCTCCAGTTCCTGAATGACCATGATCCCAGAGGCACACAAACCAATCTCAGAACCCAGTGACTTTTGGAAGTAATCCCTCCAGACTTATTACTAAAATATCAGAAATCCAAAATCACATGACTGTGATAGTGGCCACGCGCCATCATATTCTTTTCATAATGAGCAATTGAAAACAAATTGTCTAATGATGTCTTTTAATGATGTCTGATTGTTGGGGAAAATCCCAAATAATAATGGTGGTTCTTTCGTAGTGATGTTGAATGTGATCAATGTAGAGAGAGAGTAAAGTGAAATCTCCCACACAGGTCGGGGAGGGGCATTGGAGGGGGGTATACTGGGGCTCTTGGTGGTGGAAAATGTGTATTGGTGAAGGGGTGGGTGTTTGATCATTGTATGACCGACCAAGACTTAAACTGAAAGGCTTTGTGGCTGTTCTCATGGTGATTCAATAAATAAAAAATTTTTAAATTAAAAAAACATATTTTTGATTCAGAAAGATAGTAGAGTGGGAAAGGTGCTTGTCTTGCACACGGTCAGCTTGGTCTCTAGTAACGCTTATTTCAGCTTGGAGAGAGCTCACAGGGTGACTGCGTTCTTTGCTTGCTAACAATCCCCAGCCCTCCAGAGCCACGAGAAGTCCCTGAGTGCCACTCAAAAACCAAAACCAAAACCAAGCCAACAACAAGCACCTATTTTCTAAGTAAGAAATTTATTTGCTCAAATGACAATATATGAGGATTATTTTAAACTCTAAGGATTTTTTCAGACAAAACATAAATACAATGAATGTTACCAATGTAAATTTACCTAAAACAAAACAATGAATTTCCTACATGCCTGTATTCATAAAATGATTTGTGCTTTTAAGTCAGATTGTGAGTGTAACAGAAAAGCTGGGAGGCAACACTTAAAAGTAGGTTTTTTTTTCAATGACACCCACAATAAGTCCCGACACACAAGATGTTGGGGGTTCTGTGGCAGTCACAGCACAGCTACCATGAGAGAGAATGCATCCAGGAGGAGCCAACCCGATGCTGTAATTACACTCCAGACCATAGGTCCCGGGCACAGTCTCAGTTGCTCTGCCAGCCCCAGGAATCTGAACTGAGCATTTCCACTCCCTCTAATTGCAGATAATTAGAAAGAGGTTAGAAAAGTCGGTTTGGAAAGAGGGAGGGAGGGGACGCTAAGACACAGCAGGATTTGAGGTTGCTGGGATCCGCCATAGACATGACCACAGTCATGCATTTGAGCAAACAGACATCAGAAAGCCAAGGAGCTGCACCCAGAGCTGTGTGGGGCGGGCAGAGCAGTGAGTGAGCCAGGCCAGTCACCAACCCACACTGACATGCTCTCTGCCTGGCGAGCCCAGTCACACCTGGGTGGCCAGGCACAGGGCAGAGTGTGGCAGCTACACACTCTTTAACTTTCCTTAGGGGCTTTATCCGGTATGCACGTGACTCAAGCTTAGGGTTAGGACCTGGGAGGTGGCAACTGGCATCTCCAACTCCTACAAGCAGACAACAGAACCAGAAGAAGACAAAGTCTTTGAGTGCACAGACGGTAGGCAGTAAAGCACAAAGATGTTTGAGCATTACAAGGACAATGAATTGGAGGGCTCTAAGGGGAGGATTCTAGAAAGGCAAGGATGAGAACTAAAATATAAATGCTAGAATACCAAGCACTCACTTAAGATCTACCAACCTTATGGAGAATCCATATTGTACTCTGTCACTATCACTGTCCACCCGTGGTTCATCGATTTGCTCGAGCGGGCCCAATAACGTCTCCATCATGAGACTTGTTGTTACTGTGTTTGGCATATTGAATATGTCATGGGTAGCTTGCCAGGCTTTGCCGTGCGAGCGAGATACTCTTGGTAGCTTGCTGGGCTCTCTGAGAGGGGCGGAGGAATCGAACCCAGCTCGGCCGGGCTGGATGCGCGCAAGGCAAATGCCCTACCGCTGTGCTATCGCTCCAGCCTATCTAGTACTCTATAAATGTACATATGGAGGTGGGCTTTCAAGATTAAAAATGACATACACATTCTGGAGGGTTATACCCCAGACTCCTTTGAAAGCCTGGATGCTTCACTGCACATCGTAGATGATAGAGGTTATCTATGGAATACACTTTATAGGCTGTGCCGTGCGCATTAGTCATGCAGCGAGACGAAAGCGGAAAGCATAGGAAGCATCTCACTCGGGACTTGGCAGTGGATGTATTCTCAATCTATGCATGTGTGCTGCACACAAAGATGAATGTGCTCATTTGTACAGATGAGACTTTAATCCACAGGAGATCTTCTACTTAATATTCCTTTCTGCTTTCTTATCTGCTCCCTTGCTTTTGTGGCTTCGTGGGAGGGCTGCTCAACGGCTGGCGGCTCCTGGTCTCGGAGCCCCATTGTCCTCCTTAGAGATGGGAATTTAAAAATAGTTTCATGTTTCCCTTTCAGGATAAGTGGCCCTTTAAAGAGTCCTAGTCTTGAGATTACAATTTTGTTATCAATGATACTGATGCGTGTGGTGTGGACACACATTTAATCAAGACAATAAGTGACTTGATGTCACTTGCTTTTAGGGTGTGTTTATAAAAGGGGTTATTTCCAGTCTACTTTAGCAGGGCACAACTTTGGAACACATCCAAGGCTAATCTTTAAGAATGACCCTCTTCTACCTATATTGCAAACCATAATACCCAAAAGGAGAGAGAGAGTAAAAGGGAATGTGCCTGCCACAGAGGTGGGAGGAGGGGGGAATGGCAGGTAGCTGGAGGGATACTGGGGACATTGGTGGTGGAGAATGAGTACTAGTGAAGGGATGGGTACGCTATCATTTTATGACCCTCTTCATTGTCTGAGGTTGACACTGTGAGATAAGGTTGAAGATGGGAAGTTAGGAAACCCCAAAGTATTGAGGACTCCACAGAACAGCCAACATGTAGACTAAGAGGAACCAAAATTTTTTTTCTACTCAGGGAAGAAAGTGATATCTAATAGCTCTGTAGCATGAACCTGTGAATTAGTCTTATGCCAGGGTTAACTAAATGGTCTGTAATAACCTTGCTTCATATCAGCTCAAATGAGGAATTCATTTCAAATAAGAAAAACAGTTGTGACACCGTTAAAGTCTTGCACGTGATCTCAGGCAGAGATAGAGTTAAACTAACCTAACTTTACAGTCTTGAAGCCAAGTCCCAGTCACTTTCCTTTGCTTCATTTCCGCCAAAGAAAACCTAATTTAGCAAACTGCCTGGAACATACTTGTGGGAAAGTGAGACAACCTTTCCACTGTGATGTGAAGAAGCAGACATTCGATGGAAAGGTGAGGAACTGGGTTTTCAGTTTGTAGAAATTTTCTCTCTGAGCGATGTATTAAGTTCAATTTTACTTTAACTCAAGTGGAATTATTGAAATGACTGGGTCCAAAAAATTTAGGAAGGGGGGGCCAGGGTGATAATACCATGGGTAGGGCATTTGCCTTGCATGTGGTTGACCCAGGCTTAGTCCCCAGAATCCCATATGGCCCCCCAAGCACTACTAGGAGTTATTTCTGAAAGCCAAGCCAGAAATAAACCCTGAGCATTGCCAGTTATGCCCTCCTCCCACTTACCCTTCCCTCATCCCCCTGAAAAAAAAAGATTTGGGAAAATGAGGTGAGCCTGAGTATAGACAGCATCACTTAAATGGCGATTAAGGTATTGGAAATGTGACCTTTAATTTTTAATTTAAAAAAATTAGTCACACCCAGCAGTGCTCAGTGCTCACTCTTGGCTTTGTGGTCAAGGATTATTTCTGGTGAAGCTTGAGGGACAGAACCCAGATTGGATGCATGCAAGGCATATGCCTCACCTGCAGTACTCTCTCCAGCCCTAACCTAAACTGCAACTTTGAGTGAAACAACATAACCAAAAGCAGGTCATGGAAAACATCCTTTTATTCAAGAACCTTGTTTTTGCTCATCAGTGTGGGAAGAAAATGACACTGAAATGAAACTGCGTGAGGTCCTGCTCTAACTTATTTCTCTGCTTTCTCTAACAGAAAACGCTCATGAGCAGCAGCTACTTTCTGCTCAGCTCACCTGAGAATGACTTCACCTGGAACATCACTATTTAACAGAACAGAGCCACTCAATGTTGGTTAGGCTGGAGGAAACAAAATAAACATTGAAGTGGTATGTTTCATGGACCAGATGGATTATGATGAAACAAATTTATTTTCCATCAGCCAAAGCAGCACCATTTTCTACAGCACAATTCTAGAGATCTGGAATGAAGGTCCTCACACTTGTCTGGGTTGGGTGGCCAGGCACAGTTCGTGCTTTAAGCTGGAGCACATGGCACACATGGAGAAATTAATGTCTTAGGGAGAAACCTAAAACCTCAGGATGCCAACTGCATCCCTTTATTCTGTGACCACCCTATGGTCCCTGGTGTCTCCCTGTCTTTCCCACCCCAAGTGTTTCTCTCCCATTAAGCCCCATGCTCGGAATCCCAGGTGATCTGGATTTAGATGAAGATTGACATCAGCCTCTGAATAGCTTTCATCTGTCTTTCCAGCCCTGGGTTTCACACCAACTTATAGAGAGCATGATAGAAAGGCTTTATCAGCAGAGGCTGGGTCAGTTTAATTTATTATCAAACTTTCTACCCAAAGACCAAATAAGCTAGTGTGTGTGTGTGTGTGTGTGTGTGTGAGAAAAAATTAGTCAGATCCCATCATTCTTTTGAAAATTTCCCAAAGTCGATTAATAAAAATCTCAAGACTATGCTTTCATGGGACCTCAGTATCCATCAATTCTGAATGGGAAATGTACGGCAAAACATTGTCTGATGACCCCACTGCCATGGTGGAGAAATTGTGAAGAACATGAACAACTTTCAAAAATAGGTACAAGCATTTTTCAGTGACAGATAATTAAATTTGGGGTGGGGTGTATTTGCGGCCACACCTGTTGGTGCTTAGGGTTTGCTCCTGGTTCTGTGCTCAGGGATCATTGCTGCTGGTGCTTAGGGGACCATATGTGGTGCTGGGGATTGAACCAGGTCAGCTGCATGCAAAGCAAGTGCCTTCCCCACTTGCTGTACTATCCGACTCCTGAACTAAGATTTTAATTTTTTTTTAACTTAAAAATGATAATATAGCTAGAAAATACTGTGACCCCATAGATATCAAAATAGAAGTAGGTGTAGTCAGAAGGCTCAGTAAAACAATCACTTAACACACTGGCCAATTCCTAGGAGAGCTAAAGTAACGTTCCCATTTTTACAGCTTCCTCACTTTTCTGTCCTCAAATGCGTCCAGTCTGAGCATACTAAAAAAATAGCCCAACAATCATGAAAAAGTGGCAGTCTGTTTCAAGATGTCTTCATTCGGTGTCCATCTCCGTAACTCGATTCCTTTTCTGATCAAGGCAACTGATGGATTTTAAATGTATTTGGAGTCACAGGTTCAAAGACTTCATCATCATCTTCCACCCCTTCTTCTATTGGCTTCATCTTGGCAGACACGGGCTGGTGTGGGGAGGACACATCTGTCAGAAGACACAGAGGACAACTGCTGACTGGTGCCCATGGTGGTCCCAAACATGGCATTTTCAACCCAGAATTAGAAAGTATGGGGGAAAGGGATAAAGGTTCTTCTTACATGTGTTTGACTGATATAAACACATGAAGGTCCCAGTGTGTTGCCTTACTGTTTGTGTGAGGTTAGAATGCATGTTCTGACATTACTATCATTCCTGGTGATCCAAAGTTTCAAAAATGGGATGGAAGCCCAATTCCTAAGTGAACAGCTTTGCCCTGCAACCTGCAACTCCAGTGGCATCACTTAAAAGGACAGTTTTTGCCATTATTTGTTCAATAATTCCTTCCTTGGTTGACATGGGGTGGGGGGGAAGAGAGGGAGGAGAGAGGGAGGGAGAGGGGAGGGAGGGAGGGAGAGAGAAAGAGAGAGAGAGAGAGAGAGAGCGAGCAAGCGAGCCTAGGCTCAAAGAAGGCAGAGCAAGGGCATGTGCACCCCTGGGCTGTTAGAGTGCAATTTAACCCAAGGAACCAAGCAATTACTGGTTCATTCAATCCCTCACTCATGCATCCGAAAAAGATTTACTGAGTGTCTGCCCTGTAATGGACACCATGCTTGATGAAAGGAGAAATGTCTAACATGAGGTAGAAATTATTACCTTTATGGGGCCCAATGAGGGACTGATATGATGGCATCAGCACCAAGCCCCTTTCCCAAGGTTCTTCCATTCCAGGTCTGAGTTTTCTCTGGTGGGGGACAAACCGCCTCCACCCACACACACCTCTGCCCTGTGCTGGCTGTCATCTAGGAGGGCCCAGGGTGCTCAGTCAGAAGATGCTGAGCTCAGGCTGGTGGAAAGCCTGAGCAGGAAGGTAGTGGGTGAAATCTGACTCCACGTTGACTCCAGTATATACCATCAGTGGCTCACAGTTGGAAGTGGTTTAACTAATACAAGCTGTGGTCAATGTGCTAAATATGGTTGACCCTTGAGCAGCCATGATTTTGAACTTCAGGGACCCACTTAGACCCAGATCTTCTTGTACATGGATGATGTAAACGGACAGAATCAATACATACTACAACGAGTGTACTTTCTCTTCCTGGTGCTTTTCTTCATAACATTTTATTTCCTCTTACTCTATTGCAAGAATATAGTGAACAATACATAGCAAAATATGTGTGGATTGACCATTTTTATGACTGGTAAGACTTCCAGCCAATTCCTTACTAATATTTTACTGGAATGATTGGACAATTCTCTTAAGAAAGCTTATACTTTGTTACTGGGTTGTTTTCTCTCATTTTCACTTGAACATTACAGGGAATGCAGTATTTTAATTGTAACTATGCCAAAATCTTTATCTAGAGGCCTTGCTGCCGTTTTTGTCTTTTAAGAAATTTTCATTGCCAAGAAAGACTGGATTCAACTTTTTCCTTCCAGTTGGTGCTGTGTATTTTTGTTTACCCAATACTCTATAGCTTTGGGACTTTGAAATGGTAAATATTCATGGCATAAAAAGAAGCATGATACATAAACATATGATCTTAATAACGTAATGAATGTTTAGTTGTGTAGGTAAACAGGACCTAGAAGGACATGTCAGATATAACTGAGTGTAGTTGTGTATGACTGTTCTTTGCTTCTTTTTTTCCGTTTCCTATTCACATGTTAACTTCCAAATAAATAAATATTTTAAAAATCTGCAAAAAAAAAAAAAACTTCCAGCCAAAGGCAGGTGATATATAGTTGAGTTATTGAAGAGTAAAATTTTCAACCTGAAATTGGGCGGGAGAGGTTGGTATCCCTAATCTGCAACTAGTAGCTCCAGGGTCAACATACTGGCTAATCAGCATAAGGGAACAGAGGGATCCCGGTAGACCAAAGCAAACCAACTATAAGACGCTGCTTCACTGGGTCAAAGTCAACAGCTGCCAGCAGCCAGCACCTCCAGAGGTGAGCTGGGGGTCGAGATCAGCAGAAGGTCCCCGGGCATAGGGAGGGGAGGCAGCAGCCACCGTGATCAAGGGCAGAGACTCAGGAAACATGTTAGGCTCAGATCTACTCTGCTGTGTCATCACTGGAACCCTGGCCTCTGCTACAGAATCTTGTGAGGCCTCAGTTTACCTGCAGAAAGAAGCTACTCACAGAACCTGCTCCTCCGGCTACAAGGAGGATGAATGTGCTTAATTTAGGATATTGGGCACAGACCCACGCCCATGGTGGCCTCCATAATTAAATACCAGATTTCTTTGGGGAATACCCCTCACTAAGGCCATGACTATGCAGGGTGGACTTCAGTGTAGTTAATGTGTCTGGCATAAAGCAGTATTCATGTTTACACATGAACAGTCCATCGAAATCCTCAGTTTCTTGAAAGATAAACACTGATATAAGCTGTTGAAAACTGCACCTGATCCAATTCAGTTTGATCCCTGGCACGGCATGGTACCCCAAGCACTGCACGGAGCAGCCCCTCGTACCTCTGGGTGTGACCCCCCCCCCCCACACACACCTGCAATGAAAACATCAAGAAAGAAAAGAAGCTTTTGTTAGAGGTTGAGAAGATAGCTCACGTGGTAGGGCACATTCCTGACATGTGCAAGGCCCCGGGTTTGATCCCCAGCACTGCTTGGCTCCCCATGCACCACCGGGTGTAGGCCTGGTGGCCCCCGAATTCTGTGTCATTGGGTCCGAGCACCAAAGCATCATATTTGCATCACCAGGCTGAGCACTGCTGGAGGTGGCCCCTATTTAAAAAAAAAAAAAGAAAAGATCCAAGTACACATTTATGTCCCAGAAAACAGCCTGGTAGAGTCTTGCAGGCAAGGGGTATCTTACTTTCTTTCAATCGCTTTACCTACAGGAAACATCAAACACAGCAAACACAAGACTCCATTTGCTTCTTTATGCTGTAATCCCTCCCTCTGGTTTAAATTGTTTTGGGGGGGTCACACCTAGCAATGCACATGGGTTACTCCTGGCTTTGCACTCAGGAATTACTCCTGGCGGTGCTCGGGGGACCATATGGGATGCTGGGAATCGAACTCGGGTTGACTGCATGCAAGGCAAATGCCCTACCTGCTGTACTATTGCTCCAGTCCCCTCATTTAAATTCTTAAATCAGTTGGAGAGATAGTACAAGGGGTGAGGCACCTGCTTTGCTTGTGACAGACCCCAGTTTGGTCCCTGGCACTGCAGACAGTTCCATGAACACTGCTGAATGCAGCCCTGTTGGGGCGGCCCGGGTCATTCCCACGTCACAGGGCCAAAGCATCACTGCACTCTCGGGTTCTCACACTGACCCAGGAGAGATTTGGGTTTCTCCATTTTCCAAACTGTCCCGAGCACAGCATCGCCAGTTTTGGTTTCCTTATAAATAGCAACAGGTTCTACCACATCTTGCCTCAAGTCATGATTGAGTCTCATGAAATATTAACCTAGGCAGAGTATCTGCAATCAGATAAACCTTAGCAAACAGAAGGCCTGTCTGAGAGCATTCAACCAAATCAGTACCATGAAGCGTCCAGATGAAATGTGCAAAACAGAAACACAAGCCGTTTATATTTCAACAGGGGGAGTGGGACCAACTGATTTCAAGAGTTTAAGTCTATCTATCCAAGCATGGCTAGCTAACCACAGTTCTCGACATTGACAACTCTATTGTGCTAATCCAATTTTCTCAACAATCAACCACCTCCTGATCATTTGGTTTCCACGGAGAGGTGAGGACTGGCGCCAACATGGCCAGAAATAACCTTGCACCAACTGTCCAATAACCTCCAGCTTCTCTGAGAAAGAACTTCTGTCCCCACTCTATTTTCCAGGACTTGAGGAGAACCAGGTGCTTATACACAACAGTAAGACAAGAGACTGAAGCCTGAGACAGAATAGAGGAATTAAGGCGCTTGTCTTGCACATGGCCAACTCAAATTCAATCCTCGGAACCACATATGGTCCCCTGAACCTTGCCAGGAATGGCTTCTGAGGACAGAGGCAGGTGTGATGCCTGAGCACCACTGGGTATGGCCCCCAAAACAAAAAAAAAAAACAAACACCATCAGCAGAATGGCGAGAACCACCCATGATTTGTACCATCCAGGCTCCTTCCCCTTCTGTTCTCCTCAAACCATCCCATCTTTTCCCTCTTCTCTATTTCTCTCCAGCTGGAAAGACCTCTGCATTCCCCTCCCAAGCACCAAGTTCCTTTTCACCCCTCAGGGTGGACTCCCAAGGCCTCCTCATAGGTCCTCTTCCTTCCCTTCCCTCTGTGAGGAATTTTGGTGTCTCACAAACAATCCCAGCCCTCACGCCTTCTGCCAGGACCCGTTGGAAAGCAAGGATTGCTGCTACCTCTCCTTCGCCCCTCAGAAGTGCCTCACAAGGAAACTCCTTCTCTGAACTCTGAGCTGATCCTCAAGATGTGGGAGAAACATGGGCATGGCCTTTCATTTCTGAGGGTTCAGGCCTCCCTTACCACCCCACCAGCTTCCCTCAGGAGCAGGCTGGTCACCTGACGGGAGAAGCCTTCTGGGAGCAGACGCCCTACTCTCTCTCTCTCTCTCTCTCTCTCTCTCTCTCTCTCTCTCTCCCATGTCATGGTCTCTGAGGGCCACAGTTGGTGTGTAGCGTCCTCGTGTGAGGCAGTGGCGAGCGCAACCTCTCAAGCAAACACCAGCAAGGCCTGACAGTGCCCTTAGGAAGCCTTCCTGCATCTGCCAATGGACAAGCTGCTAGAGGCAGGGTGAAGGTGTTGGGAAAATGAAAATGAGTTGGACGTCACCTCTGGTATCTGATTCTGGGAACTTTGACACACCCTTTAGAGCAGCGCATCCTCATCACATCTGCCCTGTAACTTCTCCTTCTCCTCAGCAGCTGAGGCAAGGGCAGCCTGGGAGAGCCGAGGGCAGTGGCTTCTGTCCATGAGCATCTTTCCTACAACCCAGAATTTTTGGCAACGGAAAGAAATCACTTCCAAGGGAGGCGAAACCAGGTGGCTCTAACGGTCAGGACAGACTCCTTTTTTTTTCCTATGAAGAATACGAGATTGACTTTCCTTTTGGGTTTTGTGGCTGAATGGGAACCGTCAGGTCCCCTCCCCGGCCCCTCCGTTCAGTGCCTGCAACGGGGGCCCCTGGTGGCTCTGTGCCCTCCACAGGTGTGCTGTGCATGGGAACTCACTCCGCTTGTAACTGCCAGAAGTTTCCCAGGCCCAGCTGACTGCACAGCACTTGAAAAGACATCAGAGTCACAGAAAGTGCCTTTTTGTTCCACCCTCAGTTAGCAGGGCCCGTTGAACCATTCTGCCACTGCCACAGTGGGGAGATGTGGGCTGACCGAGACACGATGCCTAATGAGCCCCAGAGCTAGTGTGGTCCAGCTTCCGAGGTGGGACTCAGAGGTGTCCTCCTGGGGACCATCTCAGCTCCCTTCACTATGCTGCTAGAAATGATCAGTTCATTGATGAATGGATCCAAACTCAAATTGGGGTGTAGGGGGAAAAGAGGACTGGGGAGATAGTTCAAAGGGCTGCAGTGCTTGCTTTGTATGCTGGAGCCCGGGGTTCCATCCCAGCACCACATGATGCCCTAAGGACCACCAGGAGTGACTCCTGAGCAATGAACTTGGAACAGCCCTCAAGAACCCCAGGTGTGGGCTGAAAACAAAAACCTTTCTACAAACCTGGAGTGTGAATAAAGAGAAAGAGAAGATTCTGCTTCGAGGGAACTATCTTACATTTCACAAGTTAATAAATGTTTTCTTTACATTTCCTGGTTTTTGATTATTTTTTCATTCTGATGCATCATGAGAAATGTGCCTAGAAGGTCCAATACCCAATACCTGAAAACCCAAGGAAAGAAGAAATTGAGTTTATCTCTAGGTAAGTGCTTTTCCAAATTGCTTTTTCCCCTCAAGGACATTACTAGGAGGTTCACGCATGGCCTCGGTGTCATGCTTCACTTTTTGATTTCCAGACTCCAAAATAGTAAATCATTTCTCAGCTCTAAGTTTTCCAGAAAATATATTTCTTCTTTTTCTTTGTGTTTAGGACATACCCGGCAGTGCTCAGGACTGGCTCTTGGCTCTGCACTAAGGGATCACTCCCGGCAGGCCTTGGGGGACCATATGAGGTGCTGGGACTGAAACTTTGCCAGGTGTGTGCAAGGCAAGTGCTTTACCTTTGGCCCCTACTATTCTCTGGCCCCTGGAAAATGGATTCTTGTCCTTGATTAACTGCTTCTATTGTTGACAGACCAAAGTGTTTAACTATACCCTTTGGTATGTGTTGTATTCAAGAAGAGATCATTAGTCATGTATTTTATCTATTAGCTATAACTATCTTCCTATTTGCTAGGCTTCTCTGCCAATGAACAGAGATGATTATAAAAGTATATAAAATAAACACAAAGTTTTCAGACTGAACAGCAACCCAAACTGACTGTGAAAGGTTCAGCAGTAGGGGCTGGAGTGATAGTACAACAGGTGGACATTTGCCTTGCATGCAACTGACCTGGGCTCAATTTGCAGCATCCCATAAGGTCCCCTGAGCACCGTCAGGAGTGATTCCTGAGTGCAGAGCCAGGAGTAACCCCTGAGAATCACTGGGTGTGACCCAAAAAGCAAAAAAGTATATATAAATAAATAAAAAGTTCAGCAGTAATGCCTGGAGTTACTGGTGTGTGTGTGTGTGTGTGTGTGTGTGTGTGTGTGTGTATGCGCGTGCATGTGTGAGTGTGTGTGTATGTGTGCCTGTGTATAGCCTGGGACTGCAAGTTTGAGAGTAAAAGAGAAAAAAGAAACCCACAAACTCAGGGTCCAAGCAATAGAAATTCAGGGTAGGGTGCTTGCCCTACACATGGCCTACTTGAGTTTGATCTCCAAGAGCCCATATAAACTCCTGAATTCCCCCCCACCCCCACCCCAGGGTGATCTGAGCTCAGAGCCAGGAGCGAACCCTGAGCCCCAGCAGGTGCAGCCTATTAAAAACAAACAAACAAACAAACACCAACAGGTGTCCCCATTAAAACCAGAAAAAAGCCACAGACTCAGAAACCGGAACTCAGTTTGAATTCCAAGCACTACATAGGGTCCCCCTTGAACACCGCTAGGGGTCACTCATGAGCACAGGGCTAGGAATAGCCCTGAGCACCCATGGGTGCAGTCCAAACCATCATCACCATGAAAAAGAAAAATATTTGTCGGGGAAGCATACACAGAGCTGTGTGTATGTAGGGGTCCCTCCATGCAATAACACATCCCATATGCTCATGCTGACCTGCAGCTTCCTCACGTGTTGCTCTGTGCATCAGGACCAACCCAGCAGTGCTTGGGAGTGGTGAAGGGATGCTGGGGATGCAACTCTGGACCTACTGCACCCACAAGGTGCGTGTTTCTGCCCTTTAAGCTCTCATGGACCCCTAAAGCAAACAAAAGTTCACTTTTGTTCAGTATTCAATATAATATCCTATGATGTTGGAAGATACTTTCCTTCACTCTGTTCACTTCAATGTAATTTTCTCCCCCCAGCCCTGTCAAAGTGTTCTTAGTTTTATTATGTTTAACCATCTGGCCAACTGCTTTAGCACATAATTAAAAACCTTACAGGAGTTTTGAATTTTAATTAGATTATACAGTTGTTGCTGAATGGAGCTGAGGAAGGATTTAATGGCTTCTTTGCTAGAAAGGATTATCATCCCTTTCCTGACTGGGCCTATTTATATCATACGTATTCTTTTCTTTAATTGAGGAA